GTTCAATGGAAAAAACTGATGTGGCTGACACGCGTGACACGGCGTGAAAACCTCTTCGGTGTGGGATGTGATTTAGATCTACGTAGGTGTGCGTGCTGTTCTTGTGTTTTCTGTTTCATAACTTTCATTTGGTTTGATTTCACCATTTTCTTTTGGGTTCTTTTTGGGCGTGCGATGTGATACTGATCTACGTTGGGTGTGCATCGGTCAAAAAAATGTGGCGTTCTTGCGCGTGCCTTTTCTTTCTTTTCCCTGCTTCGCTTTGTTGGATTCCTTTTTTTGATGGTTTTTTTTTTTCTTTCTTCCTTTAGTCTGCCTCCGCCATGCTGGTTTGCAGTGTGGTGGTCACATTTTTGTGAAAATTTGTCATGTTACGATCATTGTTGCTTCAGAAATGCAAATTCACGAGGAAAGACAATGCCACCCAATTGCAAAGAAATGAAAGCACTTGCAAAGAGATAAGTGTGCAAAGTAGAAGAAAGAAGAAAGAAAAAGAAGAAGATGCACACCAGCAAGACCAATGACAAACCTCCCTTTTCTCTCCACTCTTCTCCTCCTCGTCCCATTAATTTTATTCTTCTCCAAAATAATAATAATAACAATGAGTGGTTGAAACAGAAGCAATATCCGGAGTTCCACCTTGCTGCCAGCTTTAACAAGAGGGTTATCGTAGCCATGGCCTCCCTCTTCTTCTTCCTCGCACGGGTCTAGGCTATGGCGGAATACTAACGGCTCTGCCCTCCTGTGCAAAAGACATGCTCTTCAGGCTGCTATGCTTGACACTGGCTCAAAGCTTCCTTGGTGTGGCACCACGGGGTCTTCTAGATGCAGAGCCTAACATGGCGATGAAGATGGTGTCCACCATAGCCAGGTAGGTAGCACGCCATTCTTCTCGTTTGCCCCCTTTTCCTCCTCCTTGTAGCGAAGTAGGTACCTCGCCAGTCTTCTCTTTTGCCACCTTTTTCCTCCTCAATCCGGGCTGTGCGCTATATCCAGGCAGAGCGCCCATCTCTCCTCCTCCCTCCAGGCAGCACTCTGAGAACCAGCGCCCTCAATTAGCATGACGCTCAACCTGCATGCGCAAATTAGGAGGTAGCTCCTTCAGGAGAGACAGCGGCCTACTTGCCTTTTGGGTGGTGATTTCCAGGCGGTGCAGCCTCCAAGCAACCGGTATCTCCTCCTTTTCGAAGGCAAACATCATTACTGCCTTTGATATCGTCGGCACGAGCCGTTGACTCGGGCTACTTGGACTGGTACCGGCCTACCTCTAGCTTACCACTACGGGGCTTCTAGAAGGCGAACTATTGTTTGCTCAGCCTCCAATTCCTGACACATCTATCGCCACTTGAGTGGCACCAGCCGACCTGCCTGAGTGTCTTCTCCCACACCCCTAAGTGGACCTTCTCCCCGCTACTTGAGTGTTTTTCCAGTTGCAACCCTTACGTAAGGCATGGCCACATGTAAGTAGCGGACCTGCGAACCTTACCACACAAAAGCGCCCTATCGCGCCATACACATACCCAGGCATACATGCACTCGGACAGGCACACGGACCAGCAAGCACTAGTGCGCACACAGACATAGAAAACTCAGCACATCGCGGGAATCATGCAAGCAACCGAAAAATCAGCAGTGTTTGCAGTCTCTGTTGTGGCGGGCATTACACTAACCCCCTCTCAAGAGCGAGGACCCTTCAGCAAGTAACATAGTCCCTACAAAATGCGTTGTAAGCATAGAGTAGAAACAGAGTTGTGGTATGACCATAAGGAGTAAATGTTGCAGAGAACGTAGCAGTTTGTCCGGTGGCTATCTATTGTTTGCGAACTTTAACAACACGGGGAGCATTTTGTAACAGTTATTTCCGGTTAATTCAGTACAATTCATCCAGCGGGTGATATAGGAAGTGAACCGTATATTGTTTGTTCCTCTTTTCTTTTGTGAAACAATTCTGTCTGTTTTGTAACCATCGTTGATAGCACAAGGTTATAGGTTCTTGGAAGGGAAAAGTCTCATCAGCAATGTATAAGTTGGATGCATGAAAGATCGGATATGTGCGCAGATGAGGTGGCACAACAATCACATACGAAGGGTGGAACTCATCCTTCCCTACCATCTTCAGAACCTGCCGAGGATACACTGGAACAAGCTTTTGTGATACTCCCTCGTCTTCAGAAAATGCTTCCTACTTCAAATTGCCCTTCTTTGCGCGACTTGTAAGCATGCTTGAACATGGCATGTTAAGACTTGGTCATGGCTGCAACAACAGCTATGAGCAAGCGTGCGGACTCGGCGTTGTTACCCAGGCATGTTGGGCGTTATACTAGATGACCAATCAGGGAAGAGTAAGGAAAATTGAGACGTAACTTTCCACTTCAAAAACCAAGTCTGAACATGACATGGTAACATTTGGTCATCACTGCAACAACTATGAGCAAGCGTGCGGACTCGACGTTGTACCCAGGCATGTCAGGCAGCATACTAGATGACCAATCACAAAATAGTAAGGAGAGAGGATTGCACATCTGTCAACCATAGTGTAGTTGATTAGATGTCATGCTAGGTGTGGAGTCAAAAAAAATTGTTGTACAATCCCTTCTTGATGTAACTCCTTGTCCCACTTGCTCTGATCGGAAATGATTAGAGTGCAAAGAAGTTGAATGATGATGTGGTTAATTTCCTTGGCCAACCTGTTGTCTTGGGCGTGGTGACGAGGTGTCTTCTTCAGTTTAATGTGGTAGATTCGAGAGGTGAAATCTTGCCAATTGGCACTGATGATCGTAGTGTTCCAATCACTCGTAAGAATTTGGGGGGGGCTTTTGCTGAGGAAATTTTTCAATTGCAAGATGAGTTGTGTGTGAGGTGGTAAAGGAACATAGTTCATAAATTTGGAAAAACAGACCTCGATGATCATCACTTGTGAAAGTCACCCTCGTTTATTTTTCCCATGTTCGTGAAGTCTATAGAATTTGAGTCACCGGGTTCATCAGGTATGGGGAGGGGTTCCAGCAGACTAAGGATTGTGTGTATGAACTTTGATTCTTTGACAACAATTAACTTTTGTGTAGGTGCAATCATTTCGAAGTGTCCACTCCAACCATGTGCCAAATCCTGGAAATGAGTTTGGAGAGGCTCATGGTTGGGTATACACAAACAGTTGGACCTCCCACAGCGTCGGAATATAAGATTATCGCACTCGTGAAAACGAGGATGACTATTAGGTGGGTTTATATCTGCTTGAGGATGGGAGTGAGGTTCGGATCCTTGGCAGTGTTTCTGACCACATATTCCCTTAGTTGCCTTCGGATTGGTAAGTTAAAACTCAAAATGATGTGACAAAGCATCATCTTCATAATTGTAATGGTTTTTGTGTAGCAATTCGAAATTATATACATCATTATCATGCAGTCAGCGGTTCAGCGCTATAGAAAAATCAATTTGTCATGTGATATGTTGTAAGGTTTGATGATCAGAGTCCTAGAGGCAATGCGCTAGTGCCTCTCGCAAGGCGTAGAGCTCGCCCATGTACGTGGTAAGCAACTAGCTTGTGGTTGGGCATGCGTCTGTTGTAGTATTCGAGCGGAAGGAGGCATTGCCGCCATCTTGTTGTCGTATTGCACCAATATCATAATGGTTCCCAACAGTAGTGATGACGGGTGAGTATGGGATCTGCAATGCGGAGTAGAAGATGACTTATCAAAGCTTTTCAAAGCTTGGAATGGAGTCTCACACTTCTCACACCACACATAAGTGACATTTTTGCATGTTAGTTTCGAAAAGGGGTCAAGAACGCAGCGACGATGTGGCGATGGGGAAGGGGGGGGGGGGGGGGGG